GATTTCCCAACATGTTATTGTCTTATAGTCGAACATATGCAATGCTGCATGTACACGCTATACATTCACATTCGTCTCAATCAGAAGAGTGGTTAATGATTGAGCAAAAGGTTTAGGATATGAAGAATTATAGTAATATCCCATGGTTAAATAATGCAACAGTAAAGAAAATTACAGATAATTCTTAGGGGATTTTTGTTATTAAAAATATTTTTATTTTGGTCTAAACTGAAGACTAACAGGTTTAAAGGACAAGATAATAAAACAAACCCCTATAGAAATAATAATTGAATACAACATTCCTGATATGACTAATTTCAATAATAAAAAATTAAAGATGGCATATTTCTTAGAAGGTTCGCAACTGAAAACCTATGAACAATAATAATGGAATTTGGTATACCTAATGAGGATTACTATAATTTGAATCGTATTAAAAAATACATAAAAGCGCATCTTATAACTGCATTAAATCCAAAGGTTATGGAAACACTAGAGAACATCTTTGCTATATTCAAATAAAAACATCTTCAAAAAAGTTCAATTTTTTTAAAAAAAACATGATAAAAGAAAAGAAAGCGATATCGCAAACCGCCTGGTCTAAAGATCTAGGAATAGAGAGAGATATTACTGCATGGGGGAAAAGTTGGATACAGGTTGGGAAAGTTACACACTGTTTAAATATCCAAGAATTACATTATAAAATAATGCATAGATGGCATCTTGTCCCCACTAGAATGCATAAAATAGATTCTAATCATTCTGCTCCAGGGGCGGGCTGGGACAGGGGGCAGGAAGGCATTTGCCCCCTAGACCGCCCTAAACACAGGTCAGCCCGCATCCAGCAAAAAAAGGAAAAATCTGAGTCTCCGGCCTCTGGCTGGGGGTGAGGATTTTTCAACTTACCTCTCCCTGCAGCAAGTGGAGTCGGCCGGCCTCTCCTGCTGATGTCAGGAGGAGGGGGCATGACTTCCACTGCTTTTTTCACAGGACCGCTGGGATCATCAGGAGAGGCCGACTTCACTGACTGCTGCTGCTGCCCACCCCTCCCTGGTTTAAGGTAAGACTCAGGGAGGAGGGATACACTTTAGTTTTTGTTTTGTTTTTTTTGTCCCCATTCCTCAGCTCCCGTCCCCCCCCCCACCACAGCCCCCATAACATCCCCAGTACAACTCCTCTCCCCAATTGCAACCCATATCACCCACACCACAGTCCCTTTCCCAAATTGTAGCCATCAACCTACTTCAGCCCCTATCCCCCCCCACTACATTTCCTAACACCCCAATTACAGCCCCTAGGCCTCTACTACAGCCATGTCCCCTTACTCAGCCCCTGTCTACTGGCTTTAAAAGTGTAAAGTTTGGGTGTATGTGTGTGTGTGTATGAGGATGTCTTTGTGTGTGTATGAGGATGTCTGTGAGTCAGTATGCCTGTAACAGTGTGTCTGTGTGCCTGTCAGGGAGTTTGTGTTTGTTAGGGTGTGCCAAATCAGCAAGTGAGTGTGTCTGTTTAGGTGACTGCTCCCCCCCATCTCCCCTTACTATCCTTTTGGTGCAGTGGGCCACTTGACTGGATTTGCCCCCCAGGCCTAAGGCTGCCAGCCCTCCCCTGTTCCGCTCTATGCTGGAGATGTGGAATAAGTGAAGGAACATTTGTTCATATCTGGTGGTCTTGTAGACTAGTTAATAATACCAGGTCTAAGCTCTTTCAAATAATCTCATTTTAAAGCTCAAAATTACGGTATCGCCAGAAAAGGCCATTTTACACCTAAACTTTGACAATGTAAAAACGGCAAATTTTTGATTATTCAGTTTTTCATGGCCATGAAACTAGTTATTTCAAGAATGTGGAAGAAAAAACAAGAAATCCTTCTGATAGCGGTAGTTAATAAAATTAATTTTCAATTTATGATGGAAAAAGGTTATTTTGCAGCTTTTCAAAGATTTGGTTCATAGAAAAAAAATGGGATCCTTGGCGGAGTTCTTATCCTGCAGGATTAATGTTTAATTCTCTATCTTTTAAGGTTTTCTAACACTAGGTGAGGGGACGCATACTTGGTCGCGCAAGTTTTGTCTTTCTTTTTGTCTTTTGTAAGAATATTGCTTCATATGTGGGACATAAAATGAGATTATATCTTGATAATTTACAGATGTAAAAATAGTTTTTTTTGTCCTAACTGATGAATCATGTATTTGTGTTGTTGGATGACTTTTGATATCCAATTTTGTATGTGAAAATTTAATAGAGAAAAAAAAAATTTGGGGAGAGGGGGTGGGGGGGAGAAAAACACTAAGGGACAGGTGAAGGAGCGGAGAGGATCAGTAAGGGGGGGGAGGGTGGAGAAACACTAAGCGACGAGGGAGGGAAGAGGAACACCAAGGGACAATGAAGAAAGGGGAGAGGACCACTAATGGACAGGAAGGGGACATGGATGGGTTGGGGACAGGAACACTAAGGGACATGTTGGGGAGAGTGACACAAGGGGGGGGAGGGGGCTGAGTTGGGAGAAAGACACACAGAGAGACATGAGGGGGTAGAGTGACACACAGATAGGCCTGGGGTGGAAAGAAGCAAATAGGGGCTGGGGATGAAAGAGACACACAAAAGGGCTGGAGAAGAGGAAAGAGAGACACGGAGGTGCTGGCGTGAAAAAGAAACACACCAAGGAGCTGGGAAGAGTGTAAGACACACAATGGGGAAAAATACGGCATAAAGATACACTAAAGGGGATAAGACACAAAAGGGGGATTAAGAGGCACAGGTGAAAATGTACCAAAAATATAGCACTTGTTACTTTTTACATTTTCTGAGTGCAAAACTGAAAGCTTGCATGGCATATTTTAAACTATATTACATTATTGCACATATTGTATTTGTTCAGCTGTATCCCTAACGGTTTATGTATATTTGATACATGGAGGGATTAAGTGGGAAGCTATTTCCAAGTCTCAAGTTCCAAGAATAATTGTCCCAGTTAAGACAAGCATAATTTTATAGTGGACCATTACTGTTCACTGGTGATAGAAGTGATATTTTTATGCTTATAAGGTTCTGAGGATACCAGTATCTCTAAAACCATTGGTTTCCTCACAACAGAAAGTTATCATAAAGCATTTAGAAAGTAATGGAATGAATGTGTCTGTGATAACTTTTTACAGTTATTTTCATTCAAGAGTTCATATTGTAATGTTGCCGTCAGTTATCTCTGAAAATTGACAGTTCTTTCTAAAAAGAAATATATGCAACTATGTGACCTTTTTGTGAGTGATTTTGTATTTATTTTTCTAACACAATGAATGGCAAACTAGGAGCTTTGCTTAACTGTGGGTCACATCACGTTTATGGAGCAACACTATAATTAAAGGTTTATTTTATTACCTTTACGTTGAAGAAATGATTTTTTTAATTCTTTTTTTTATCCACTTGTAGGAGGCTGCTGCAGGACAACTCCTTCTGACATTGAAAGCTTAAGACAATGTTTGCGCCCAGCAACCTAATCGGCAGCTAATGCATTTCATGCGATATGTGAAATAATTTATAAATGTGAAGGCCTTAAACCATTGTGTATTCTTTTAATTTGTGGATATACATATAATTGAATCTTACAGATAAACCATCTGGTTAAATAGAGCTAGAAAGAGAGACAGCTGTGAATCTATACTCTAACTCAATTCAATGTAACAAGATGTGCGGTCAAATAAATACTAAGAGGGCTTCTACAGTAAATGCCTAGCACCTACATCTAAAGCAAAGACCTATTTTGGAAAAATAAAAAGATCTCTCGTTGCTGGTAATGGTATTTACAGTAAAAATAAAAACCACTGTCAACTTGCATATAACTAACTTTAAACAAATGTTTCACAATTATGCTCTATGAAAATGAATAATGAACTAAAAATATTTTAAATTTATTAGGAATTTATGGTAACAAAATCTAAAAAAAAATAATGGCAGGTAAGAAGCAATAATAGACAAAACGGGTAGCTGAAAATTAGGGGGCGGAGGGATTAGCAGACAAAAAAAATACACATACCAAATGCCAAGCAAGCAGGACGTGTTTTATTGTCCCCTTTAATTTATGTTTGCACTCGTGTGAAGATTCAGTAACTGCATTTTGTAGCGGAGAAGCAGTGGAATACTGTATGCTTATTCTAGTGTGTTAAATAAATCATTAGAAAATCTAATCTCTAGATGAATGCAGAAATATATATATTTTTTCTTTCCATCTCTGTCGTTATGCTTTAAAATTACAAATCACAACGCATAGTGTTTGTGCTTTATCTGTGTAGGTGGTCTGTTTCTTTACATGATGCTTAGTCTTCATAGGGTACAGCTCATGCAGAGTTCCGTGCTGACAGATCTCATCCACTCCTAGTCCCGTTACCTTCGAATTAGAACGTATTCATCATACATAACTAATTTTTGTGGAGGCTTCAAAATTATTTAAATAAGAAATGGACCTCATTTTCACTGTGCTTAGAGGGATATCAGCTACACCTTACTGAGCAAAACTTAGTTTGAGACCTGTGTTAGGTTTAACGAACAACAATTACATTTTTTTCCTCACGGTTTTCAGATTGTCTGTTTAGCATAAAGTTGTTTTAGTTGACACATTCAATTTAAA